CACACACACACACACACACGCACACACGCAGTGCGCATGCATGGGTTAGTACCAGCATTTACAGCACATGCATGCAAGCGTCAGGGTGTACCTGTCGCCTTGAGCTTTTCTTTCATCTGCGGAAAAGTTGAGGCCGCGCAATGGGACACCGTCCCCCCGCAATGATCTCATCCGCCAACCCTAATCAAGGTCACAGGCAACAGGGTGTGTGTGTGTGTGTGTGTGTGTGTGTGTGTGTGTGTGTGTGTGTGTGTGTGTGTGTGTGTGTGTGTGTGTGTTGGAGGAGAGGGGGGATTGAGTCAAGGACTGAATGTAAGGATTAGGCTGATGGGAAGAGAAAGGGAGAGAGCGAGAGACAGGGAAAGCGAGACAGAGAGACAGAGAGAGAAATAGCCACGGGCATAAGCCCGCGACATGCGACAGCAAGCACACACACACACACACACACACACACAGACGCCAGCGTGTAATCCTACATACATGAAGTTGCCGTGCCGCTGGGCGGGGCTGCCATCACTCAGGCTGCCCACAAACAGCTGGCAGTTCTGTTGAATGTTGTCGCATACACGAGGACATTGACGTGAGCAGGCGTGAGTGCAAGCTTGCAAGAAGGCATCCTCCACGTCAAGAAGTGAAACCAAAACGAAGCAGATTCGTCTGCGTGCAACCAAATAGACAAGACACACACACACGCACGCACGCACGCACCCACGCTTCTGCAGAGATGCATGTGCACGTCCACACACATATACCCACGCTCTCGCGCAAAACAAACAAATGCAGACCTGGCCGTCATTGTCGCAGACGCCGCGAACGCCAAACCCAAGTGAGTTTGGGTTGAGCCGCTGAAACGACACCTGGTGCTCCTCTACCAGCGGCGCTGCGGGTGGCGCAAACACGTCGTTGTTGGACTCAGCCTGCTGCCCGCCTTGAGGCGATGGCTGCTGATGCGACACATGCTGTGGTGGTGCATGTTGTCCCTGCTGCTGCTGCTGCTGCTGCTGTGGCTGATGGTAGGGCGGAGGCGGCATTGTCAGCTGCGTCGAACCCGACAGGGTGTGCTGTGACGCAAGACTGGCACTGGATGCCTGGCGACTGGTATCCGCCATGTTGCTGCCGCTGGCTGTTGCGGCCTGGCTTGGGTTGTTTTGGGGCGACGGGGCCGACTGGCCCGCTTGTCCCCCCTCCTGCTGAGGCCGCTGCTGCGCCATGTACGCGTGGTATGTCGCCCGGTTCTCGTCGTCGCTGTTGTTGTCTGGCTCTGCGTCGTCTGTCTCGGACTCATAGCGAATGGCGGGGGCACGGAACCCGCGAATGGTGCTGCTGCTCTCATACGGGCTGTCTGACGATGCAAACGACCCCACACGCGGCCGGGTGGCCGCGGGCACACGGCTCGGTGACTGCACAGACGGTACCGTGGTTGTCGCCTGCACGCTTCCTTCCACTTGCACAGAGGTGCCAATGTGACTGGCAGCGCCCGTGCGCGAATCCGGCCTAAAGTCGAAACAAGGGGCGGGGAGTGGGAAGGGGGTGGGTGGGGTGGGAAGGGTACACACACACAAAAAAAAAAAAAAAAAACACGCGCAGCACACATGCATGGGAAAACAACGTATCGGAGTTGAAACAGGAAGCAACAACAACACATTCAACAGGAAGGTACGTTGAAGTTAGTAAGGTTCTATGGATTCAACCGTGACGTTGTGGTGATGAGATGGAAAGATTTGCATGCAGGGAACGCAAACATGTGCGTGACGTCAAGTACAAGTGCACACTACACATCGTTAAAACGCTCAAGTCAACCCGAACCTGCTCTGGTCCTGGTGCTGTTGTGGCTGCTGTGGCATCTCCCGCTCCACACCGACGCGCGTGCCCTCTGACCGTCGGCGGAACAGCGCCACAGCAGCGGGCACTGTGGCGTGGCTCAACTCAGCTCCCTCAACCTGCAGCAGTGAACACACGCGCGGTGTGTGTGTGTATGTGTGTGTATGTGTGTGTGTGTGTGTGTTAATTGGCAGGCTGGCGTGAAGATGGGTCACTCGCACGCGAAAAGCAGAAGACGCGCCCATTGAGGTAACAGCAGTCCAGCAGCACAACAGCAGCACAACAGCAGCAACAGGACACAAGACACGTACAAAGCGCAGGATGTCGCCTTTGCGCAGGCCGTCATCGTACAGGCCCTGGGAGAGTTTGTTGACCACCAGATGCCCCATGCCATCGCTAGTCAGCTCAAGCTCTGGATACAAGCAAAGCATTGGTGCAGAGAGGAAATGTGAGAAGGTGGGGGGGGACGTATGCAGCTGGCAGTCTAGTGGCACGCGAGCGATGATGACAATGAAAGGACCAAAGGACGAAAAAGCGTGTGCACATATGTACACATTCAAGCACACGCACACGCACTTGCATGCACACGCACACAGAGACGCATGCATATATCCGCATACAGATGCACACGCATGCAAACACACACCGTATCGTGATGGGTCTTCCGGGTGCGGATGGAGCGTGAGCTGAAATTGCTGCATGCGCGGCATTTGGCGTTGGACATCCCTGCAAAGGACAGTGCGCGCAAATGTGATACGAGAAGGTGACCGCGCGAGTGCATCAAACAGACGCTTGCGTGCTCGCACGTTGCCCAAAGCCTGCAACACCATGATGGGAACTCACTTGACCCAGGACATGACCTCCACCCCTTGGCGATCCTCCCGATGCAAGTGGGCACCCATCCTGAATGTTAAGGGGCAAAATTGTCAAGGCATGGAGGCGTGGTGCGTGGAAGCGAGGGTAAGAGAGTCACATGTCAGCACACAGTCAACGACGCTGCAGCCACAGGTGTCTGTGGTGTTGATCGCCATGCGCCCGCGACCGGTGTTGCGTGTCAAGCCACTGACTGACCTGGAGAGGGGGTTCATGTAATCCAGTCTCTTGGCAATGGCTGGCGGTAAATCGAAGTGGATTTCATGCCTGCCAGCAACCAAGGAAGGTCAGCAGATGCAACTAACACACACATGTATATTTACGCACATATTTACACATGCTTACACATACACATGTAAACACGCAACACGCACGCACACACACTGAAAACATGCAGCTCACTATCCGACTGTAGCACAGCGGACTCGTCATACCTGGAAAGAATGTTCTTGTAGAAGACCAGCGTCTCTCGCAAGGTGGAAAAGTCGCCGTGAACGTTCTGTTGGAAGCGATGCATTTCGCTGCGAAAGGAGTGCAGCTCTTGCTGCAGTGGGCACGTGACAGAATGGAGGAGAGGGAGAGGGTGTGTGGGTGTGTGGGTGTGTGTGAGTGTGTGTGTGTGAAGAGAGTGTGTGAGAGTGTGTGTGAGAGCAAGCCAGCCAGACAGACAGACAGACACACACACACACACACACACACACAGAGAGAGAGAGAGAGAGAGAGAGAGAGAGAGAGAGAGAGAGAGAGAGAGAGAGAGAGAGAGGACGGCAGTACACACAGATTTTCCCAGGTTAGAAGTAAGCATGGCGACAAGCAGCGAAGATGGATATGAGCCACCCGAAATGCATTCACGTGGCATCCAACAAGGCGTTGTAACGACAAGTCAGCAAAGCAAGCAAGCCAGCAAGCAAGCCTGCAAGCAAGCAAGGCGGTTTCCTGCCAAGCATTCTTGCTCACCTCAAGGCGCCGCGAGCGCTCCCGCTCAGAGGCGAGCTGCTGCTCCAGGATTTGCACGCGGCCCTGTATCATGACAAACTCGCCCTTGAGCTGTCCCTGCGATGATGCTGTCTGGGTGATTCGATCCTCCAGCTGGTACAACCTTTGTACATTCAACGATGAACCGACGAGGGCACATGGGTGAGGCTGGGCGCCAAGTGGAAAGCAAAGGACAGGGATGCTATGGAACGGGGTGGTTCGCTTGTCATTGTGACAGGACACGATGAATCGCTTGTCGTGGGTGGATGTGCTTGAACAAGAGAGACGTGCACTTGTGTTACAGCAAGCTCACCAATCGTCAGACATGGAGAAGCTTGATTGAGTTGTTCCGCTTTGGGGGCGGTATCCTGCTCCAGGTGGCGGCGGTACTGGCTGCTGGGGATGGCCATGGTGGTGCGGGTGCTGGTGATGGCCACCGCCACCAACGCCTGGGTACTGCTGGGGACTGCGGCGAGGGTTGTAGCTAGAAGGAGATGGAGAAGTGGAATGATAAGAGGAGGGAAGGGCGGAGGGATAAAGAGATGGAGGGATAAGAGGATGGCAGTGATGTAAGGATGGTAGCGATACAAGGATGGTAGCGATAAGAGGATTTGAGGATAAGAGAAAAGCAAGCACAGAAAGCAGGAGGGAAGCAAAACAGGAAGGAAAAGCACAAGGCTACAAAGACGGAGCACCACAAAAAGGGAAGACCAGAGCACTGGCAGCGATGACGGGTTATCACGCACAACACCAGGTTGCAAAACGCACTTTGAGTCGCTGCCCGTGGAACGCATGAGTGGAGAATCCGTATGGCGCACTCCCCTGTCAACACGACAACAAGGTTGGTTTGTTTGAGGAGGCAGGCCCGAGACATCCATGCAATGAAATGCAGTGAGAGGTTGTTCGTTCCCCGCAGGTTCGACCGACAGTGAGATACAAGTAGTAAAAGTACATGAGTGGCACAATCAACTTGTTGGCACCAGCACACGCGCACACACACACGCACAAGCATACATCAACACATGTACGCACATGTACGCACACACACACACACACACACACACACACAAAACGGGGTGGCACGCAGACGTGCATGCGGTGCCTGCAGGCATCCATCACCACAAGAAAACCCCCCAGAGAACGAAAGAACTCAAACGACGACAAAGCAAGGGTGAGGGAGGTCTCAATAGCTCCAGAGAGAGGGGTGTGACATGCATAGATGCATGTTCCTCGAGAACATGACGTATGTACGTACTCGCGTGCTGATCTTCGAGGGAGGCTGCCCGCCCGGTTCGGCCTCACGCGCTGCTCCTCAGGCCAACCAGACATCGTTGTTGTGGGTTGTTGTTGTTTTTCGTGTGTCCAAAACAAGGAATTGTTTAATTGCGGATGATTCCATGCTAAACTAAGCCGTGTTCACCACATGAACCGCTGCTCGTCAGCTGAGTCGGGCCAGCGGAAGGGGCGCTCCAAGAACAGGAACAGCACCATGGCGTTAACAAGCACATACGCAGCACCTGACACGTGTGTATGTATGTGTGTGTGTGTGTGTGTGTGTGCGTGTGTGTGTGCGTGTGTGCGTGTGTGTGTGTGTGTATTGTGTGTGTATTGTGTGTGTATGTGTGTTGTATTGTGTGTGTATTGTGTGTGCATTGTGTGTGTATTGTGTGCCTGTGCATGAATATGTGTGATACAGGTTGCATGTTTTGCCCAACCTTCTCCACACCCGAACACACAGCACACATCCATCCACACATAACAATCAAATCAACGCACCAATGCAGAAACAACACAACACCTACGGTCCCGTTTCAGGTCAAAGCACAAACACCAACACAGGTTCACACGCACACACCTTCGAGGAGAAGCGCGCGTTTGCTGCTGGGCACCATGCGCACGCGGAAGAGAGCATACGGGATCAAGAAGTACCGGAACTCCAACAGCTGGCATGCACGGATGGATAGTTGGTTGGGCGGTTGTTTGGATGCATCAAGGAAACGAAGAAGCAAGATGAGGAGTTAGGTAGGGACCCAGTGAGCCAGAGACAATGCGTGTATGGGTGACTCAATAAACACGCACACTCCTACACACACCCCTACACACACGCACGCACGTCCACACCCACCCACCCACACACACACACACACACACACACACACACACACACACACACACACACAAACGTCCACAAACACACATATATGTACAAGCATTGGCGCACGTGTGCTGGGACGAGCACGATGGTGGTGGCGGCGAAGAAGAGGACGTTGAGGAGGTGGCTCTTGGAGTCGGGGAGAATGACGGTGAGGATGGCCGGTGCAAATCCAAACAGCGGCGACAGCACCATGCGAAGCTGTGCGGAGAGAGGTAGAATTGGACGAAGGTGAAAGGCAGAACAAGCGAGTTGGGGGGTGAAGGCCAGCAGGGATGCCGAAATACAGCTGCAGATGGACACGCAGACACACACACACACGCAGACACACACGCAGACACACGCACACACACACACACACACACACACACACACACACACACACACACACACACACACACACACACACACACACACACACACACACACACACAAAGGACAGACAGACATCAGCGCACCCACGCGACCACGTATCTGTTGGTGGCTCATCAGGCGCTTCCAGATATAAAAGTAAAGTGCCTGTTGTCCGACAGGAGGTAGGGGTGGTCGAGTGCGGAAACGCCATGACACAGCAGCAGTCATCATCAGTGCTGCAGACGGAACACACGCCCCGCCCGC